GCTTTTCGGCTGGGAATCGCGGTGGTATGAGTCCGGCCCACTCTCGGACCCAGGAGCGCTGCAGCTCCCGGAGAACTGGCTGCCTGGGCGCAAGGCGCGGGGGGCTGGGGGAGCCTCGCAACTTTCAAATCTTGAAGAAAATTTCAGCAAGTTAGAATGTCAACATCATTCACCTCAATCTTTAATTTGGAACATGAAGAATTACACTTTTTTATAAATAGAAACTTAGCTTTTTTTCCCCATCTACCTAATATTTAAAAAGGAACCCATATAAATGTAAATAATCATGTTGGGTTAAAGGGTGACTAAATGGTTAAACATTCAGGGCAACTACATGTTACTGTCCAGATAAGAATACTTTTCTGCAATACTCTGAGGACAGTTCACTATTTGCTTCAGTTACTATTTCTAGAATAATTGCTCAACTCTATTTGACTCTGACTACTCTGGCTCCTGTTTTGGTATTGCTATGGTTTGTGTCTGAGTGTCCCCCCAAAGCCTCATGCAGTCATGGGGTGGGTTTCTAGAGTTATGATTGATTCATGGTCCAATGTTGGATTTATGGATGTGAGTGCTACACTTGCCCTAGGGCGGGTAGCTTGCATACAATATAAGGGAGGGAAAGAGGATTGTTCTTTCAGCTGCTGCTCCTCCCTTTTGCTCTTGCTGCTTTTGCTGTCTTCCAGTGCCACGAACTGTTGTCCTTGGCCATGTGCTGCTCTGCCTTAGAGCCAGCCCAGTATGGACTGAAACCTCCACAAACTGCAAGTTAAACAAACCTTTCCTTCCTTAATTTTGGGTGTCAGGTATTTCTTCTCATCAATGAGAGAAAAGTAACCAAGACAGGTATGATGATATCAGCACCTGTGTGGTGATTGAAGCAATTTCTCATGTTATTTTTCTCAAGCCTGGGTTTCTTTTATTACTGAGTAGAAATCTGAACAACAAAGCATTTTCTGTGTAATGTAATTTAAAAATAAATTAAATTAAATTGATAGATCAAAGGTCTTATTAAAGTGCTCTGCCCCACACATACTTAAAGTCTCTACACTCTTCAAAGCAAGATGATCTTGTATAATATTATTATCTTAACTGATGTAGAAAATAAAAACAGATACAGGATGATCTATGTTCTTCAAAGACTAAAGTTCAAGGTTAACATAATTTATATAATAAACACATTGCATTGATTTTTGAAGGGCATACCACTATATTTAATATAGAATTCTGTTCATTTTGTTTTCTAATTTCTTATTTTCTTTTCTCACTGAAATTTGTAATATTTTCTTGATTTTAAATTTATAAAAATTATCTTTAAAAATTTAAAGTGCACGAAATATACACCAACTTTAGGGATGGTAGCAGTGACATTTTTTTTGGCCAATGATGTATTTTAAACAGAATTTCTTTCTTTAATACTCTTAAAATGCTATCAAAACGTGAAACTTCATATCATAATAAGTAGGGGCTGGGGATTTAGCTCAGCAGCACAGCGCCTGCCAGGCAAGCACAAGGTCGTGAGTTCGATTCCTGGTACCGGAGAAAAGCCAAAAAATAAATAAATAAAAAACAAACAAACAAACAAAATATGATAATAAGTAAAATTGTCAGGATAAGTCTTTCCCAGGGTAAAAGAGGAATTACAATTGATTTTCCAGGCAGCAACCTAACCAGTCCAATCACCTATGTAGTTTGGTGTAAAAGATAGAAAAAGTTAAACTTGAACAAGTACACGCTCAAAGACTCAGAATTGATTTCTATTAATAGGCAAATATTCTGTTTCACAAACAACCATGTTGTAGCAACAGAATAGTATGGGAAAGTGAAAACAGAATAAGAATTGTTCAATGCAAGAGAAAAAATTCATGTTAGATTGTATGTGACATTTTATCTCTGAGAAATTTCTATTTTAGGTGCACTATATGCCTTTTCTGATTTAATCCCTCCTTCACTGTTGCATAGTAATAGTATAGCTCTATTGAAGGGAAAATAAAATTAAAGCTAAGTGAGATTATATAACCTTGTTAAAATGACGTAGCCAATAAGAAGCGGGATGATATTCATAGCTTGGTCTCTGTCTTCAAGGATGGTGCCCTTCTTACTCTGCGATCTCAGTATTCTGGATTTCAGAAATCCTTTTAATTGTAACCTTTTGACAATAAAATCTTCCAGTGGCATTTTCCACGATATTAGTTCAGCCACTTCGTTTGATATAGATCACAGAGTGATCGTGAGCATGACCTGTTATAGTCACCTTTGGCCTCCACATGTGAGGCTCTTGTAAACTCCTTCTAATGAGATTTTTAGATTATATTTCATCTGATTCGGAGTGGGCCACGAGTGAAATAGGAAATGTAATAAATCCGGTGAGTGTTGTTGGAGAGGGCTGTGTTGGACCTTCACTGCTCATTGGTTTCCAACTTCCCAGCCCCTAACCTCCTCTTTCTTGTCAGAACACTGTATGCGCTGTTCCAGATTTTCTCAATGCTCTTCTCCCATACCTTGCATGGTAAAGGTGCATCACCATCCGGGTCTTGGCGATACATCATCTCTTTATAAAACGTTTTTTTTGCAACCATATCCTTGCTTACAAGTACTGGGTGTTTTTAGCACTCAGTGAGCATAACTGTATTTATTTATGTGATTCCTTATTAAATGAAGCTTCTACATAAATAAATTTTATGTTTTTATTTGTGTAGTTATTAAATGAATCTTGTCTGGTTATTAAACAATAAATGAATTACCAGGGGGAAAGAATCATATATCTTATCTTACTTAGTACTCTATTTCCAAGGCTTATCACATTCTCTAAACTGATATTTAAGAAATGAATGTTATAGACAAGAAAAATCTGTTTGATGCCTGGCATGGTGGTGCACAACTGTAATCCCAGCACTTGACAGGCTGAGGCAGGAGGACTACTGTGGGTTTGAGGTCATCCTGGGCTATATAAGCGAGTTCAAGGTGAGTCTGTTCTACATATTGAGACCCTGTCTCAAAAAAAAGAAAGAAAGAAAGGAAGGAAGAAAAATTTCTTTGAGTTGCAGTTTCTTCATTAATAATTTGGCATGATAACTAACATTTCTTAAAGATAATTATCAATGTAATAAAGTGCAATATATTTAAGGGTACATGAACTTCAAATATTTTACAAATCCTGATAAATTGAAGTAAAATTTACCCTAGATACAGACCCATTCCCTGTTTAGGCATGACACTTATCATCGTGTTTCCTTCATCCACCATTATATACCTTAGTGCTTTTCTGTGATTTACCGAGTGAGCAAGACCAAAATCTAGTGATGTCACACCTGACCTTCACTTTTATGAGTGGTGCTTGAACAGTGGGTGTATTTTGACCTGAATCACAGGAAGAATTCACCTGCCCCTTCATGTTACAGTATGCACAAAACACTATAACGTGACTAGTGGATTTGTGCCATTTATTGGTAATATTTGCATGGCTTAGATTTTTCCAGAACTGCATACATTTCTTTTAAAAATGTTTATATATATTTTATTGGTATATGTTTGTGACGCATATAGTTACAATGATTGGAATTCCATTTACTTCAGCTTGAGGCTGGAGTAAGTGTCTTTTATGGGCATTACTAGCTCCACTGACTTATAAGTGAGGAATATAAATTGTGAGTGTAATGATTCTGACACCGGTAAGTGAATAATTTCTGGTGAGGATGGCTGAACATTTGTGTGAATATTTTCCTGGTTTTTCCACTGCTTCAAAATGGGAAGCACTTGAGTATAAAGTTATTTTTCTCTGAAGATATGAAAGATTTTTTCTTACGACAACTATGTCTTTTATGATTGAGTCAATCAACCTGTGGTTTGTGGTTTTCTTGTGTTATCAATAAAACTGTCATCATACATAAGAGGCTGTATGTGACAAAGAAGTCTGTACTGAAGGTAGTATATGTCAAGCAGAAATAGGATAAAGGTAAGAGGTTTCATGTAATACAATTGCCTAGATCTGTGTAAGATGTCCTTTACTTCTCTAGAATAAAATTTATTGTTTGAAACAGCCATGGCATTTTCCTCACTGACAAGAAATTAATATATCTTCAGTTAACTCTTCTTTTTAATATATTTTAATCTCATACTCATAGGCTGGCCATGATAATGACCTGGAAGAGCAAAGGGGCAGGAGTTGCTACTTTTAATGAAGTGGAGCATTTCTGGAACATATGCCTGGCTTGCCCTGGTGCTGTTTCTAGTGAGGATGGGGGAGCGTTGTTCCCGCTTGGCAGAGACACTGGAATCAGCTGGGTGGGCATAGGGTAGAGAGCCCTGGGTTCCAAAAAGGAAGTCATTATTCACATGGTAAATACTGCACTGTTACAGTCGAGCACAACCACGCCAGGCATCAAAGAGATTTTTCTGGTCTATAACAAGTATTTCTTAAATAGCAGATTGGAGGACGTGATGAGCTTTTGGAATAGGGTAGTAAGTAAGGTAAGATATATAAATCTTTTTCCATGGTAATTCATTTAATAAGTTTAATAACTAGACAAGATTTATTTAATAACTACACAAATAGAAACAGTTTATTTATGTAGAAGGTTCATTTAATAAGTAAACACATAAATAAATACAATTATGCTCACTGAGTGCTAAAAACAGCCAGTACTGGTAAGCAACAAACTTTGGATATGGTTGCAAGAAAAAAGTTTTATAAAGAAATAATATATCGCTGAGACCTGGTTGGTGATGCATTATTTACCATGCAAATTATGGGAGCTCATTAATGCTCCTCTAGAGTTTTAAGAGAGTATTCTATCCCAATGTTTCCATCACAATGGTTCAGTAATTAAAGATGAACAAATGCATAAAACTTCACTCTGAATCACCACATTTTACTCTGTGGTATGTAAACATTCACTCACAAAGTACATAATAAAAAGAATTACAGCATCCTCCAGAATAATTTGATGAAAACTTGTAGATACAGAGGTAGTTTTTCACTCTTAAATTATTACTTCAAAGTAGATCAGCAGTGACCTGCAGACAGTTCAGGTCTCTGTAAAAGGAGTCTTTTATCCATTTTTCTTTCAAGGCTTGAGTTTTTTTTTTTTTTTTTTTTTTCCTCCGGTACCGGGAACTGAACTCACAACCTTGCGTTTGCCAGACAGGTGCTTTGCCGCTGAGCTAAATCCCCAGCCCCTTGAATTTTCTTTCAAAGCCAGTATTTCTTAAGTCTTTCAGAAAGAAAATAGATGAGAATGAGTTATGCTCATAGTTGAACTCTATAAATGTCTCCAATCACTTTTTCCTTCATATATTTGAATCTTCCTGGTAAATATTCTTGAATATTTGGTTTAAAACAAAGTATTTTAGAAGTACATCCTTAGAAATCTACCATTTATAATTCAATTTTCCAGGGAGTTTGCAGTCAGGTAGAGCAAATGCCTGCTTTATCCGCTTGTTTTTGCCCAATTCCTGTGTATTTTGCTGAAACCACAGGTCACTTTGTTAGACTTTGGTAAACACTGGTTTGTGTATATGTAGGTTTATTTCTTCCTGAACTAACCCAAGGCCAGAGAAATGTATAGATTTACTTTGGAAATTTCTTACTGCTTTGTAATTCTGATAATATTAATATATGCCATTTTATCTACTCCTTTCTGGTGTTTTCTGAGAAATTGGAATACATAGGAAATATTTGGTAACTCCTATGTTGATATGATTTTTAGGCCAGCTTGGGATAGGAGTTTTAGATTTCAAGTTACTGTTGAGGATATGATCCTAACCTAAGACACAATCCTGACCTAAGAGGAAGAATTAGGATTTGAAGAAATAAGAGGCAGGCCATGTATGGGGTTTATATTCTACTATTGGATGGGAATAGACAGTAAAAAATGAGATATATTCTAAACTAGAGGCTGATGAACATATATTCTGAAAGATATATATAGAATATATCTATATATAAAAGAATATATATATATTCTAATGTAATACAACCACCATTGTTAATTCCCTACCACTTTGTTTGTAACTCTGTGTTGTCTGTATTGTGCTTGAGATATGTTGTAAAATGTTGTATGTCTGTTAATGTTTCCCTCCTTTTATCTTCAAAATTAAAAAAAAAAAAGAATATATATATATTCTAAAAGATATATATAAAGAATATACCTGAAGATATATTCTAAACTAAAGGCTACAGAAGTTGAGACTAAAAAGGAGTGGGAAGAGGGGGGCTGGGGATTTAGCTCAGCGGCAAAGCGCCTGCCTGGCAAGCGCAAGGTCGTGAGTTCAGTTCCCGGTACCGGAGAAAAACAAAAACAAAAACAAACAAAGGAGTGGGAAGAGGGATCCCTCCAAACAGGAGCAGGGCACACCTCACTGAGAAAGAGGTGAGGAATTAGCTGTGTGTATAAGTAGAGGAAGAATGTTCTATGCGCAGGGGTCAGACAGTGCAGAAGCTGTCTGCTGGGAGCTTATCTAAACACTTGAAAGACAACTCAGATGTCATCACGGCTGTAGTAGAAAAAACAAGGGGACATTGGATGGAGATGAACGCAGAGCAGTGCACTGTGGGTGTATCTTATAGATACATGGGAGAGAGTTAAGTAAGCCACGATGTTGTCGTCTGACCTACATAGCAAAAGGACCATTCGCTCTGTGATGCTTTCATCAAATTTGGCTAAGTGCAAGAAGCTCTGTTATGAGATTATTGAAATCATCCACGTAAGAAATGACAGTGGGTTGGAACAGCAGTCATAGTGGTACCAGAATCTACATGTATTTTAAGGGGAAAATGAACAAGATCTTCCAGCAGATTGGATGTAGGTCTGAGAAGAATAAGATTCACGTTTTGTCCTTCTACACGGAAACATGGGCTGTTTGTCAACTGAGGTGGGGATGGCTTTAAAACCAGGTGAGAGAGCTGGAGCGGTGGGCACTTGGAGTTCAGTGTTGATTTTTCTGAGTTTGATTTGTTTTAAATACCCAGCTGGAGATTACAGTAGGCATTGTAACAGGCAAATCAAGTTTACTGATGGTTGTTTGTTTAACAACAAATAATTGTTTCTCAGGAGGGTTCTCAAATGGATGTTCTTAGCAGACAGCATTTCAGTTCCTGAGACCAAATAAGGTCACCCAAAGAGTGAGCAGTGATAGAGAAGAGAAGAAAATCAGACAGAGCTGTGTCCTACTCTGGCATTATGGTCAGGGAAAAGATGGAACACCAAAGGAATAATGAATAAAGTAGGAGGAAACCAAAGGAGTGAGAACACTGATTGCGTGGAGAGATGACTCATGACTACAAAATCAGCCTCAGGTAAGACAGTCCTTTAAGTGGATCTCATTTAGAGCTGTGAAAGTTTTTGTAATCGCTGTTTTTCTTGTGCTTCCTCACTAGCCATGTTCATTTTTTGTTGTCACTAATGGGCCTTGCCGCAAAAGATTCACACAGAGAGCACCTGCTTCTGCTCTTCACAGAATAGCGTCAGGCGGCAGCCCTGTCTACACTGGGCTCCGTTGCCCCCAGCCTCCCAGGTGCCTGTGGATTCACGTCAGAATCTCCTTCTACGCAAGTCACAGAGTGTTAAGCTTTGCCGAAGCTTTGATTAATTTCATGGCCTTGTGGTGTTCCTAAAGCTTTTAAAATGTTCAGAAAGTTTGTGAGCACCACGATCACACTTACAATTTATTTTTGACACTTCTGGTGTTTTGAGTTTGATATTCTCTCCCCCATAAGACAGTGCAAACTTTGTAATGATGATTAACAAGAACTTGGTGGCACTTACATGGACCTGGCAAAGGGCAGAGCAGAACACACCTCTTCTCTTCCAGGACGATAATCTGGAAAGATGAAGGTTCAAGGGTTCACAAGCTGTAACCAAGTAGACCTGATTTCCAGATTTATTGAAAAGGGCAGCAAATGCACAAGACATGCACATAAATCTTGCCTTTTTTCCCCGTTGCACTGAAGAATGAGGCAAAACATGGCCAAGAGGTTGAGTGTCTTAGCAGCTTTTTCTTGCTTTTCATTTTCCTCACTTTCTTTGGGAGATCTGATTAAGCACAATGACCTCATTCTTTCAAAGGTGGACGGCATTTCCCATGCACTTTTTCCTAAGAAGAACACAAGTTGTAGATGAAATAAAATAATATAATTCATCTGTCATAAATACAGTGTTACCTCAGTTTATGAACCCTTTTGTTTGTGAACAATTTGGTTTGCAAATGGAAGTGTTTGGCAAACGTGTTTGTTTGCAAACTCTACATCAGGTGACAAACATGACTGTAGCTTTTCCAGAATGGTGGAATGAATTAAATTGGTGAACAGAGATTTGTGAGCAGAGGTACCACTGGTATCTCTAGATAGAGGAGTTGAGGACAATTGTGCTATTCCTACTCTACACATAAAAGGAAATATATATATATATATTCTTTCTGAGTGTGATTAACCTTTATGTAATACTGATTGGAATTCTCATGAGCTGTACCATAAACTGAAAAATTCTTATTCAATGAATTTAGTAAGTTTCAACTGTAGTGTTTAAGATACGCAACTGACAAATGATTATGAAAACATATTTAAAACATCTACAAACCAGGGAAATCTGCAGAGCAAACAAGTGTTTCCTACCTTCCTTACTTAGCTCAGTCATTGACGATACCCCAAGCCAGTGCTTTACACACTCAAAAGCCGTTTTGTGAACAATGTCAATTTCATTCTGGTTTGTGTAATCAACTCTAATGTTGATCAAGGCAGATTTATTTTGCCTTTATAGCATGCCTAAAATGTTTCTGGCTATCACAATTAGTTCGAGGAATACTAGGTTTAACATGAGGGTATTTTAAGGACTTAAAAGGCCATTATGGGAGAAGGGCAGAGATCAAAGTAGAAAGTGGGCAATACGGACCTTCAGAAACAGTCACAGGGCAGAGCAGTGAGATCTCCAGCACAGTAAGCATCCTGATCTTTCTGCTGAGAGTGACTGGAGACTGTGTATGCTTTTTAGCTAGGCAGATGTCAGCAAAAGAGACTGAAAAACAGAGTTGAGGATTGTAGCAAAAAACACTCTCTACAGTTTTATGAAGGCATCAAAAAAAGAAAAAGAAAAACAATGTAAGGGGCTGGGGATTTAGCTCAGCGGCAAAGCGCCTGCCTGGCAAGCGCATGGTCATGAGTTCGGTTCCTGATACCGGAGAAAAACCAAAAAAAAAAAGAAAAACAATGTAAGAAGGAGAACAAATAATAGCAATAGATGAAAATGTCCTATAAATATATATAGACTTGGAGACACATTACTGCGCCAGTCACAAAGGTGCCACTCATGCAGTTGACGAGGACAAAGTGAGTGGCAGAGGGGAGAAACATCACTAATATTGTTCTTCAGATTTTGAGCAAAGAAAATTCTATTTCTAGTTACTAAATACATACATAGCACTATGACCTAGACATTCTCCTTTCAGTCTACTTTCTCAAAGTATTAATGAGCAAATAAGAACATATTGAAAATTCCATAAGGCTGCTGAAGGATTTTCATCTCATATTGGATAGCAAACAACTATAAATCCTCCTTAGGTCTTTCACTAGCTCTTTCTCAGTCTCCTTGTGTTGTACTCAGGGTCTACAAGGGGAAACAATAGAGACACACAAGTCAGAGAATTATTCAATAGTCACCCAAAGAGTCATATACAAAGAGAGTGCATGAATCTGTCCACACGCCAAAGACCAAAAGAATTCAGCTGAGGGCCTGGATCCCACAGCAATGTCCTGCATGAGTTCAGTTGAAGAGCTAGAGCCCATCACAATGCCCCCTACGAGTCCAACTGGAGGCCAAGAGCCTACAACAATGTCTCATGGAGGCATGTTTGAAGGATCTGTGCTAAGAAAGCCCAAGGTCAGTGGTGGAAGTTAGACAGTCTGTGTCAGCAGGATGAAGGATCTGTGCTAGCAGGCTGAGGGATCTGCACTGGAGCCAGAAAGCAATGCTCAAAGTAAGAACCAGAGCTCCCCTGAAAGGTACCATAGCCCTCCTTAGCAACAGTGAGGTCCTGAGCTCCTCCAATGATGATAACAGCTGAGTTTCTATTGGGAAAGCCAGTGTGACAAGCTCTTCCAGGACATTCAACAGTGTATCATCTTCTCCTCTGGAGCCAGGAAGTGCTGCTCAAAATAAGGACAAGAGCTACCCCAAAGTGAACCACACCCAATCTCAATGACAACAAGTTCCTGAGCTTCTTCGATGTTAAGAACAGTCACATTCATATCAGGAAAGCCAGCATGACCAGGTCCTCCAAGAGAACCAGCAGCTCCATAACAGCCTCTCAACTTCTTTCTCTCCAGTTTGCCCCTTATGCTGCCAGCAACAATCCTCAGGTGGGCCTCCCCACACCCAGCACCACGCTGGTTCAGTTCAGCTGGGTGTTACAAGCTGACCACCAGTTGTCAATCCACCACACCCTTTCTTTCTTTCTTTCTTTCTTTCTTTCTTTCTTTCTTTCTTTCTTTCTTTCTTTCTTTCTTTCTTTCTTTCTTCCTTCCTTCCTTCC